TGACACCCCAGGGCTCTCTGCTCTCTCTGGGGTTGATGTGGCCCAGGGGACAGCTTGGGGACACCATGGGGACCTGGTCACAGTGTGGGCCACTGGCAATGTCACCCGCAGGTGTCAGATGATGAGTACACCAAGCTGCTGAGTGAGGGCATCCAGCCCGTGTCCACCATCGACCCCAACTTCTCCAGCTTCACCTACACGCCACGCTCGCTGCCTGAGGATGACACCTCCATGGTGAGGACCGTGGGGACAGTCCCCAAGTGCCACCATCCCCCATCTGCTCTTAGTCAGGTCACGTACCTCAACCCCATGGTGCTGGTGGGGCTGGGCTGGGGTGGATGTAGCTGCACCCAAGTGTCACCCTGCATGGCAGGAACGGGTGACACAAGGGGGTGGACACTGCTGGGTGTTGTCACCTGCTGCCACCCACCCTGTCCTCTCCACAGGCCATCCTGAGCATGCTGCAGGACATGAACTTCATCAACAACTACAAGATGGACCGTCAAACGCTCACCAGGTGGGTCCCCATCCTTGTGCCTCACCCCATCCTTCACCTGAAGGACCCCAAGGGGACCTATGGACAAGGGGGTGGGGTGGGGAGGTCTTTGTCCCCAGGAGGTGACAAAGACAAGGAGGTCCTCATGATCTTGTCCCCTTCCACCCCAGGTTCTGCTTGATGGTGAAGAAGGGCTACCGTGACCCTCCCTACCACAACTGGATGCACGCCTTCTCTGTCTCCCACTTCTGCTACCTGCTCTACAAGAACCTGGAGCTGGTCAACTACTTGGAGTAAGACCAAGGAATTGTCACCATCACTGTCCCCATCCCACCTGACCCAGTTGGGGTTCTCCTCGCTCTCCCGCTTGCCTCAGTTTCCCTCCTTCCCCTTCCCTCAGAGACATCGAGATCTTTGCCCTCTTCATCTCCTGCATGTGCCACGATCTGGACCACAGAGGCACCAATAACTCCTTCCAGGTGGCCTCGGTGAGGCGTTGGGATGTGGGTGGGTGGGGTGGGGACAGGGACAGGGACGGGGACAGAGCTGGGTGGGGTCTTCATCTCCATAACTCCATGACACCAACTGCTCTACCTTGTAGAAATCAGTCCTGGCTGCGCTGTACAGTTCAGAAGGTTCTGTCATGGAGGTAAGGTCTTCTCCAAAACCTCCTCCTGCCCAGCTCCAGGGTTGTGGTTGTGTGGTAGCACCTCTGCCTCCACCCTGCCCGCTCCCACCACATCCACTTCTTCTGCAGAGGCACCACTTTGCCCAAGCCATCGCCATCCTCAACAGCCAAGGATGCAACATCTTCGACCACTTCTCCCGCAAGGTGAACCTTCAACTCATGCCACCTCCTCACCCAACTCCCTCATCCCCCTCATCTCTGGATCCAACCTTTGGGATGGAGGATCTCATTGGGGATATGGAGATGATCTCACCAACCACCTTACCTGGTCCTACAGGACTACCAGCGCATGCTGGACCTCATGAGGGACATCATCTTGGCCACCGACCTGGCCCATCACCTGCGCATCTTCAAGGATCTACAGAAGATGGCAGAAGGTGAAGCTCTTGGGCTTCAGGTTGCCCAGGGAAGTGCTGGAGTCACCATCCCTGGAGGTGTTCAAAAAACATGTAGACATGGCACTTCAGGCCATGGTTTAGTGGGCACGGTGGTGTTGGGTTGATGGTTGGACTTGATGATCTTGAAGGTCTTTTCCAACTTTGATGATTGGGGTTGGGTTGTGGTGGGAACCTATCCCACCAACACTGGGTTGATGGTTGGACTTGATGATCTTGAAGGTCTTTTACAACTTTGATGATTGGGGTTGGGTTGTGGTGGGAACCTATCCCACCAACACTGGGTTGATGGTTGGACTTGATGATCTTGAAGGTCTTTTCCAACCTTGATGATTCTATGATTGGAATTGGGCTTGTGGTGGGAACCCATCGCACTAAGACCAGGAGGTGGCATGGCAGGTCCTACCTGTCTCCACAGCCCTGGTGTGGGGGGTGGTGGGGACTCTGGGACTTCTTCTCAAGCCCCCCACCCCAACCCGTGCCCTACTTGGCAGTGGGCTACGACCCCAAGAACAAGCAGCACCACAGTCTTCTCCTCTGCCTGCTCATGACCTCCTGTGACCTCTCTGACCAGACCAAGGGCTGGAAGACCACCAGGAAGATTGCAGTGAGTGCCACACCATGAAGTTGACCTTCTAAATGCCACCCCACCATCTCCTTGGGCCACCCACATGTCCCCAGGCACCAGGAACCAGCCTGACCTTCACAGTGGCATGGTGCCTCCACTCAGGGACCTCCAGACCACCCATGCTGGGTGTGTGTGGCCCTGCCCAACCATTCCCTTCAGCCATGGAGAGGGGTCTGGAGGACAGGTGGGGTGGGGAGGTCACTTCAGATGTGTCACCTCCAACACTGACAACCTGTCCCTTGCAGGAGCTGATCTACAAGGAGTTCTTCTCCCAAGGTGACCTGGTAGGTAGAACCAAGGCTTGGTGGAGGGTTGGGCTTGGCCAACGCTCTTGAGAAGCATCAAGAGGGTTGGGATGAGGTGGGAAGGGGATGGCCACCAGCATTGACCTCCACCCTTGCCACCACTGCAGGAGAAAGCCATGGGCAACCGTCCATTGGAGATGATGGACCGGGAGAAGGCCTACATCCCCGAGCTGCAGATCAGCTTCATGGAGCACATCGCCATGCCCATCTACAAGTGAGTCCCTCAACCTCCAGGCCTGACATCAAGGTGAAGGTCCCCTCTGCCATCACCCTCCCACCCTTTGTCATGTCAGGTTGGGATGAAGGGTGGTGGACATGAGGTCTTCAAGATGTCAAGAAGGTCTTTTAGATATCAAGGGAGGTTTCCAAGTAGTGGAGATTGAGGTGGAACCCAACTAAGGCCATGGAAGTCCATGTAGATGTGGTGTCCTCTGTCCCCAGGTTGCTGCAGGACATCTTCCCCAAGGCAGCAGAGCTCTACGAGCGGGTGGCCAGTAACCGGGAGCAGTGGACAAAGGTGTCCCACAAGTTCACCATCCGGGGTTTGCCCAGTAACAACTCCTTGGACTTTCTGGATGAAGAATATGATCTCCAGACCCCTGACCCTCAACTCAACGGTTGCCTGGAGCTCGAGGGGGGACAACCTGAGGCAGGGGCTGAGTGAAGGGGGGGGGAGGGGTGATGTGTGGGGACCAGGATGGGGCTTGAGGAACCAGAAGTGTCCTCCAACCCTCATCCCCCAACCCATGGGGAAGAGGTTTGGGGGGACATCAGTGACTTTGGACCACCACGGTGAGGTCCTTCCCCACCGGTGGGTGATTGTCCCCTCCCTCCAGGGCAGATATTCAGGTGTCTCCTCCACCTGGTGGTCCTGGGACCCTACCTGGGTGGTTGGGGACACCAGGTGACACCATGAGGGTGGAGGATGGATGTGCTTTCAGCTGCCTTAAGGCTGCAGGTCCTGTCACCACGGGGTGACCATGGGGACAATGTCCTCGGTGGAAGCACCATGAGGGTCAGCAGGATGGAGAGGGACAACGTGGGGCACTGGGAGTG